GGGGGTTGGACTAGATGACCTCCTGAAGTCCCTTCCAACAGCTATTTTCTATTACTCTATATTAATATTCCTAGGTAATTTGTGAAAATTTTAACGGGAGATAAATGTGCTTAAGATTAGTTATATTTCATGTTACGAGTCTCACTGAGAAGAAGCCCCATTAAGAAGCCACACAGGGCATAAGAAGATTTTGACCATGGGACTGTTATTTTATTTGTTTATTTAAGGAGAGTAGAGAGAGAGTGAAGGTGGAATGAAACAGAAATCCAGATTCAGACTTTACTGGAGATGCATCCATTTACACTAGTTGTAAATTTAGCTCCACATCTCCTCTTATGCAAGTGATACCTAAACTATTTCCATTAAGATTTGATCTAATATGGAAATTATATGAGTAAAACATGAACACTTGAAAACAGTGGTGTTTAAGATTTAAGCATCATCAAAATGTTTTATACAATAAGTACAAGGAACATCTACTTAAGAATGTCTATGAAAAATAATCAAAATGAGTTGACATTTAAAATGCTATATTTATTATTTAAATTATGAAATACAAAACACATGCAAAACACTTCAAACACTGTCAGCTACAGTAACAAGTATGAGATGTCTTCTCTGAATGATTATTATGTGTGATGTTTATAGTAGACAGTTATGTTGGCAGCATGCCTTCAATAAGGCTTGAAAGTATTAAATGAAGCATCCAACATGCTAAACCTAGCACACAATGCACCAAAGATGCATTGCTTATACCTTTTATTCATTTCTTTAGATGACTAAGAGAAAAGAAAAGAGAACTGTATTAACAATTTAACAAACAGGAGATAATATTTAAGAACAAATAGTATATAAAACAAATTCTACAGCTTTCAGTTGATGTAAATAAACACAGCTCCATTGATTTTATTGGTTTTTTGCTCATTTATCCCAGAAGAGAAGTTGTCTTTTCAGGTAATTTCCCTCTGTAAGACCTTGACTCAATATGTTTCTTTAAGTACACGTGTAGCTTTAAGTATGCAAGCAGTCAATCAAGAAACACTTGTGCTTAAAAAGTTAGGCACGTAGCCAAGAACGGTTGCTGTATTAAAGCCTACATCATTGTTATAGTAGGCAATATCATTTCTATATTATAAATATTAAGGTCCAAATGCCAAGACCAAAAATACTGTCCCCCACACCTCAATACATACACACAGCTGCTGATGCTTCATGAGCTTTATACTAGTAGAATTGGGTTTTTTACATTTTGTGGGAGTGCCTCAGCTGCCTTTTTCATTGTACAATAGGGCTTCAGGATCCAGGCCTCCATCCTTTACAGAAAGGGTCAGGAGACATTTAATGACTATACATGTTAAAAGCATATTAGGAATTAGATACCCTATCCTCCAAAAGGCTTTAAGATTTCAAAACTTTTCCAGTTCCATCAGGAAGCAAACAATGTGATTGGTTTTCATGCAAAATGCAAGGGTGGCCCCAATCCTTCCAAGAATAGTCAATACTTCAGAGATTAGGACATTCATTTTTGGGACATGGGAGAGTCAGATTAAAGCCTCTAGTTTAAATCAATCAGAGGAGGGACTTGAACATTGACCTCCCACAACCCAGGTGAATGCCCTAACCACTAGGTTCTTGGTGATTGTTTGGTGCATCTTTCAATCTTTCTTGTTGGAGCTGTTTCACTTAGTAAAAAGAATGAGTTTTCTCATTCTTAGAGTTCTTCTTTGAGCCCTCATGTGACATAAGGAAATGATCCAGCAGTGCTAGATTGGCACACCTGAGACTACAGACTAAACTGATCTTAGAAAATGACAAAGAGCTGCCTGGGTCTGAATATGTTATATAAATGCCTTATGAGACTCATGCTATTTAGGTTATTGTCCTGAACATAATTCATACTTACATTTAGGAAACTAGCCTCATCAAGTTCTTCAGTTTCCCTTACAGTTGTCCCCAAAGCCTCCTTGGCAGCATCAATAATCTGTTGAAAGTTAACCATCTGTTCATAGAGATATTCCATTTTCATCTTCTTCACCTCCTCAAAGTTCTCTAACTTCTCGTCATATTGTGCTGTCACTTTCTTAACCATGTCTTCATTTTGATCTTCTAAAACCCGTTCACTTTTCTTACAGTTTTCCTGGAAAATAAAAAAAGCATGCCAATCTGAGAAATAAAACTACATCGGTCAACAAAATTTCCACGGAAGTCAATATAAACTATGAGAGCAAATACCTTTCCTTCCCATACCACTCATTTGGGTGCTTCAAAGTAGAGGTGCTGTACTCACCCAGCCCCCCTGGGCTGGATCCAGAAGCCAGATTCAGACATGGCAGCAGGGCAAGTGACAGCAGTGATTGTGGTGACTAAGCACAGCCATTGCTCGTATTCTACTGCTGACATGCTTTCACAACACGGCTCCATACCCCAGACTGCAGTGGCGCCCCCTTCCTCCCACCCCTGCTCACTACCATCCTGAATTCTTGGCTCCTCTATGAGCCCCACAGGCCAGGTGATACAGTTTCATGGGCTGGATCCAGCCCATGGGCTGCATATCTGGCCCGCCTGCACAAAATGATTCAGATTGCTAATTTGAAGCATGTAAGGTTTGAAAGTTCAATCTGTGAAAACTTTTGTTTTAAACAGAATTTAGACTAAAAACACTGAGAGAATCACTTGCTTATCCAGTGCTTGACAATCACATAATACATGTAATGGTCACTGTGATCATTATCGCAGCACTATATTATGAAGCAAAACTATGTTTATTTTTCACAGTTAATCACTCACAGTCAGAGGGGCTAATGTAAGGACTAGTAAAACACCCCTTTCCAGTGTTAATCCCAGCAAGGAACTACAACAAATCTTTTCAAAGCATTGTCAATATTGTAAAGGAGAAGAAAAACAGTAGCGATATAAATGTTGGACTTACCTCAACAGAATTAAATAGGGATTCTATCTCACTAACAAATTCCTCAATTTTCAGTGACTTTTCTTGTAATGCCACCAAAAATTCATCTAATTGATCCTGAAATTAAAATAAGTTGCAGTCACTTGAAAATGTGCACTGTATAAAATCCATACAAAATGTGTATTAGATAAATATTTTTGTTTCACCACTAGATGTAATCAGAATAACTTTTTCAGTTAATTTTGCAGTGCCATCATAGCTAGTGAGTCCTATAGGAAAAGCACAAAACCATCTTCAAAGCATAACTTGGGCTTGATCCTGACAGGCACCGAGAGCTCATTTGTGATATTCAAGACCCACAAGTCAGGCTTTGCTGGAAGGTCAGGATCTTAAAGCATCTCACAGAAATACTAAATAGACTGCAGGATATGGTCCAGAACAGAAGAGGGTAATTGGTAGGGGACTGGCTTAAGTAGTCTTGCTGCTTATCTTGGAGACTAAACCAAACTGAGCATAATCATAGCTTTTTCTGAATTTTGCTGGAAAATTATGCTTGATATTTACTGATAATGAAAGGCCTGACTCAGTTGTTTTATGTGTGTAAATAATTCAGAAGGAGGCTTGTGAAACAAAGTAGAGCTATCTTTCTGCAACAGTTTTTTCTTGACCTTCTTTGAGAGTAAGCTGTCCATCTGCTCATGTGTAATTTATGATTCATAACTGCACTTGGTTTTAATCAAGTTGTATAAAACTAGAAGGAAGGTTAAAGGAAGGTTAGTAGCAGTCTCCTATAATCTGGCAAACTTTTATAGCCAAATCTGTTTGGAAAATGTGACCTCATGTGACCTCCATGAATTATAAATATCATATTAGACTGTAAAATTGAATTCTATATTTATAACTATTTAGGGCTAATCAGTGCAACTCCAAAGTGAACTTCTGTTTGTCAAGATAACCTATAAAAATTGGCAGAGGCCATGAATACCTCATTTCATTTAACACAAAGTTTTGCTCCAATGCTAAAACTGAGGAAATGAATATTTTGTTGTCCGGTATTTTCTGAGAGATTATATATATGAGTAACAAGAACCATGTGTGGACAGTTTCAGAGTAACATGAGTTTGACTGCTAGAAATCACATGAAGTCAGACCTGTTTTGAAGCCAGATTTATTTATTGGCTCTCTCTCAAAGTCCATAACCAGGGAATGACATCATGGGATAAATTAACTCCACCAGCTTCACTGTAGCTCCAACAGGGATGACTGTGATCTGACTTTATGATTGACATTGGTATGTTACAATCATTCATACTTGTAGATTAAACTATTATATAGTAAAGATAAAAACAGGGTACATGTACAGACTAGACAAATAGAATAATTAATAGCTTAAAAATTGAACAGAAATATGTCACATGTTCTTATAGCTATAATTTTTGTTTCTTAGTTATGAGTTACTGTTATAAACATAGCTTACCTGAAGACTATATCTGAGGTCTATTTTCAGACCAAATTCCAGGATTATATATGAATGCTTTAGTGTAAGTTAAACACATGCCAGGAGGTCAGTATGAGATGCAAAATAACATGAGTTAAAAGACAAATCATTATCAAAACTGATTCTGTGACATGGCCCAGATTTTTTTTATTAAAATTATGTGTAATTTTTAATTACATATGATTGTGTGTGCACCAGAAAAAATAAAGTTCAGTGTTTTTACACTGGGTTTAGATTGCAGAGCCGGCAACCAGAAAAAGATGTATAAAAAATAGCTAGAGAAAGGTCTCTACTCTGCCTTCAACTAGATTAACAAAATCAACAAACTTGACATGGAGTAAGTGACAGATCATAAACATGGAACTTCATAATGCCATATTTGCAGCCACTTTTCAGAGCAGAATATGAATTCAAAGACAAGTATCTAGAGAAGTGAAAAGTGTTGTAGCTAGCATTTATTTTGAAAATATATTTGGGGGGAAGATACATAGTATAGGAATGTATGAATACTTTTCAGAATGCTAGATTCTTGCACTGGTAAGAATACCCTTGCTAGATTTCTGAATGACTTGAATTTTAATTTCATGCTCATTTTTAATTAGTTTCAACATTTTGTCCTACAGGCTAGATGCACATTGTACAAAGTTTTGGAACTAGCATAAATATAGGTTCTGTATCAGGTGGTTTTCCTTCCCAGGAAAATAAGGCCTTGTCTGTTCTACTGCTAAACTGTATCAAGGAAATGGATTAAACAATATGGGTTGACTGGTGAATGCACACAGGACTTTAACCACATTTTGTGACAATGCTAAAGCCTTTGACTGATCAATGTTTTTAAGTGGAACAGGTGACAATATTATTAGCGTCAGTTCAAACGCATGAAGCTCACTCTACAATGAAATTAACTAGTGTTACTAAAATTCTCTCTCTACAAAAGAAAAAGAACTATACTAAGGATGAGGCTAAAATTCAGAAAGCTCTGTGAGACCTGCTAGGGAAATAAGGCCACTTAAAAATGTGAAATAAAATTATATCCGCGTGGTAAGCTCATGATTCTAAGCTACTTAACTGCAATATATTCTTCCTTCTAGGCTGGACTTTAAGAGGGAGCATTTTTTGTGTTCTGTTCTGGTTAATGCAACAATCATCTTGATACCAGTGTGGGCTTGGCTATGATCTTCCATGATTTTAGTGAAAATTTTGCACTGTTTATTTCTTTTACAGCTATTGTAATATCATGGTATGTTTCATAACTTAAATGAACCACTGCTGCCAGAAAGGGTGTGAAACCCATCTCAACCTCTACCATTTCCAATGGGAGACAATATTTTTTTTGAAACAGACCAAAAATCAACGCAATAAACATTTACATCTTTCTTTGCAATCCTATAGAATTAATTAACCAAACCTTGAACTCTGAAGGGTACATGTTGGCTTAGCCTATTTAGAAGGTAAACTCAGTTGCTGAAGGTTACTTGCTGGAGCTGCTGATTGAAGGTTCAAGTAATCTAAGGAGAGCACATCACAATAATCCAGCCTGACAATCAGAAAGATGTGGACAATTCTAGCAGGGTCCCCATCGAGGAGAAAAGACTCCGGTATGAGATAACATCTAAAAACCAAATTTAATTGCACATTTTCTCCTGAGCAGTGAATAAATAGTAACGGTCGGTCCCTGATTTTATCTTGGAAAAAGGAAAAAAGATGAATGACCCATATTTTAAATTAGCTAAATAAATAACATTTGTGTTTTACTTTGAAAATGGCATCGCAAATGCTTACCTTGATCTCATTTGCAGCAGTGTCTAGTGATGTCACATCATGCTCTTTATGCTGCCCAAAAAGCTTGTCAATAGCAGAAATAGTGCATCTGCACTGGTAGCAATAGGTATCAATTTGGGCCTTCTTCATTTCTTTTTGTGGACTCTCACTTTCAGGTATGTCTGCTGATGATTGTTCAGGCTCCATCATCACAAACCCTGAATCTTCATGGTCAGTGGGTGTAACTTGCTCTGCCTCGTTTACAGATTCATAACTATCACTAATATGCTCAAAAGATTCCCTGTCTTCAAATAATAATTCTTCATGTGCCAATTCAGAGGACACTTCATCTTGCAATTCTTCTTGGTTAATCACTTCATAATCCATTGATTCAGCAAGATCTTCATAAGCACCAAAGCACTGCTTTGCTCCTGAATTGGGCTGAAAGTTATCTAGATTGCAAGGAAAGAGCTGTGTGTCTGATTCACTTAACGCATAATCAGATCTTACTCCTGGTTCTGAAAGTCCACACTTAGCTATTCCTAGGTCATGCTGTGCTATACCATCTGTAACCTTTCTCTGGCCTCTTTGTTTGTGTGTCAGCTCATCTGTGCCTATTAGATTTTCTTCTCTGCCTTTTTTTTTGTTCATATTTTCAAGGTGATTGTACTCTAAAGCATGTGCCTCCCTTGTCATGGGATGCAGTTGCTTATCTAAATGTGAAATTAACCCATCTTTCTCTAGTTTCTCTGTTTGTTGAAGAGTTTCAAGATGGGAGAGATTTTCTTGGACATACTGATTGCCTTTACTCCCCTCAGCAGGTGTTCTGCCGTGAGGTAAATCATTATCCATTTTGTGAACTGTTATTTCATGTTGCTTTTTCTGCTCATCTGTCAGGTAAGTTACTTCCTTTGATTTATTTAGCACAGATGCTTCATCTTGATGGGCAATTTCCTCAGAATCTACTACTTGACTGGACTCTTGATGACTTGTTTGACTTGACAGTTTCTGGTTAGCTTCTGCAGGTATATTTTCTTCTTCTCTTCTTTGATGAGTAACATCATTTCTAGCATCTGAAATATTTAGTTTGTTTCCAAAAGGAATTGCATAGGCTGGTTTACAAATTGTTGCTTTAATATCACTAACAATCTGGGCTTCTTCTTTTCTCAATACATCTGTCTCTCTCTCCACTATTTCTCCTTCTGACATTTTGGCAGACTCTTCAGCTGAAATGTGAACAGATTGCGACTCCTTTTCAGCTGCCTCACAAACACCCTCACTTCTGTCCTCTGAAACTCTCATTTGGCTTGAAATATCTTTGCTACTAGACTGATCTTTTGGAATTTGCTCCTTCTGAAACCCAGCCATATTACTTGGAATATCATCTATAAGAATATATTTTTCAAAATATATTCCAGTTCCATCATCTGTGTCAGAATTCCTACTAGGAAACGATGCATCAGAATTCATACTTTCTTCGTCAGAAAGAGGTTCATTGTCACCTTTTATGTTTTCTCCCACTGCTTCTTCATACAGGTCTTTGTATAAAAATGAGAGAGCAGGTGGCTCTTCTAGAAGCTCTGGGTTTATCATGGTGACTGATGTGGGAAATAACAGGGATCGTTCTAACACTCCTTCTTCTGTATCAAACAAGGGTGTGCCTGCGGACTTTTGTTCATCTTCTACATTTACAGCTTTTTTACTGCTAATGTCAACTGATTTTTGCTCAGGAAAAGATTTCTGAACATCTGCACAGGACTGTATTTTGTTGTCTTCTTCCACAGTTCCATAAAAGGCTTCATCCAGATAATTAAATAGGGAATAACCATCTTCCAAAGTATTAACATCAGATCTTTCATTTAAAGAGACAGCTTCCTCCATTGGTTCCTTAGGACTTTCCATTCCAGCAGGAAATGAGTGTAGTTCCTGAGGAGATGACTCAGTAGGATATTTGTCATCAATCAGAGTATATTTTTCAAAATAATCCATATCAATGCTACTGTTATTAGGATTCAAAGCAGTCTCACTATTATTTTCTATCCTTTTTGAAATTTCCTCTTTTGTTTCTACAGCTTCCGGAGCATCTTCATCTTTGACCGGTTCTTTTTCTTCATTATCTTTACTTCCAGTGTCACTAGCCACTGAGCTTTCTGAAATTTCTGTAGTCGTTCCACATACTGAAGCTTTAGGGCCAGCAACTGTATCATCACTATAGTCAACTAGCTGTCTTTTCGATAAGGTATTTGTTTCCAAATATTCCAGCTTATCAGGCATGTGTTTGCTTTCTTCTTGATCAATGGAAGAAATGACTGGGGGAACATGAATATTCAGTATTTCGTAACCTTCTGAAATTATATTAAACATATCTTTTTGACTGTCAAGTTCTGAAGTGCACTTGCATTCTACTTCAGACTTCACATGGTGTGTTAATTCCTCTTCCCTTTGTAGACCATGTTCAGGTTCTTTTGATGCTTCCTCTACATTCAATGAAGGATGGGTTGCTTCTGCTTCTGCAGAATAAGATGGCATTTCTAGATTCTGTGTTTTAATAAAAGGGCTAAGTAAAGTGGATATTGGCTCTGCTGAAGCGATGCTATCCACTTCAGCTGAAGAAGGCTTTTGCATCGCTCTTTCATCAAGAAGGTCTGGTGAACCACCTGTTGATTGTTCCAATGACACATCTTTCGTGCCATCTGAATAAGGCTCCATTTCATGTCTGTTTGTTTCTTCATTACAACTGACTGAAGTGGTTTTTGACTGCTGCACCAACATGCTTACTAGGTCAGGCAAAGATGAGGGAATATCTTGTTTCTCTTCTTCATCAAAGAAACCAAGCGAATAAGACTTTGACTCTTCCAGCCATGTATCAAGATTTGCAAGTGAATTAAACTGAATATTTTGTTCACCCACTTCCTTAATAGTTGTAGTTGACTCTTCTGAAACCCAGTTCATCATTTCCTGTTCACCAGGCAGCATTCCCTGATGAATACTTTCAGCAATGAGGCTTGGAGAATGAGCACTTAACTGTTCTGACAAATATTTTGTGCTCAATAAATCAGCTTGGACTTTTTGCTTATCTTCCATTGCTGTAGTTTTGGGTGAATAAGGTTTAACTTCTAACTCTGTTTCAGCTAAGTCTAAATGTTCAGACTCTGACTGTGCTATAGGTAAACATGGCTGAATATCTCCATACTCTGTTTTTTTCATGGAATGTGCTAAATTTGGCTGTTCTGGCTCCATTTGCGTGGTTTCTTGTTCCTCTGCTTCATGATTGAGGCATGTTAATTTTTGAACATCCAGTTCCCGTTGCTTAGTTACAGGAGAATGGAATCCTGAATCTTGCGTCTCCAAATGTTTAGACTCTAGTTGGGCAGTTTCTTCTCTCTCTTCTTTGCCACTGGAATCGGATACATTGGAATACTCACACAGCCCTGAAGTTACCTGTGAAGCAGACTGCCTTTTTTGTATTTCCATTTCATCAATAGGGCACAATATATCTAACTGTTCAGACGCCAGTTGCTGAGTTGCAGTGGAATAAGACTTAATTTTTTGCTCCTCTGCTTCCTCAATTGAATCTGATAAATATGGATGTTCAAACTCTGACTGAGTGATTACAGGGGAATGGGGCTGAATAACTTGCTTCTCTAAATATCCAAACTCCAACTGTGTGGTCTCTTGCTCCTCTGTTTCATCAGCAGAATTTGAGACATCTGGATGTTCACACTCTGATTGTGTAGTTAGAGGTGAATAAAACTGACTTTCTTGCTTCTCCGCTTCATCCACAGAACGGGATAAAACTGCATGATCCAGCTCTGATTCTGCAGTGGTGGATGAATAAGGATCAACATCCTGCTTTCTTGTTTCAGATAAAACTGAATGTTCAGACTCAGACTGTGTAGTCATGGGTGAGTAAGACTGACTTCCTCGCTTTTCTGCCTCCTCCACAAGATGTAATGAAACAGAATGGTCAGACACATATTCTGGAGCTACAGATGAATATGCTTGAGTTGTTTTCTGCTCTGATTCAGTTACAGATTCTGCTGAAATGGGCTCTGTGGTCATGATTGAATAAGGCTGAATTTCTTGCTGCCCTACTTCATCAGTTAGGCATGATGTAACAGGCAGCAACTGGTCTGACGTCTCAATTATAGTCTCAACTGGAGGTGGCCACATTTCTTGTTTCTCAGCTTTATCAGTAGGATCTAATGGAGCAGGCACTGGTGGTCCTAATATTGAGTTTATGGCTGTAGGTGAACATGTGGGAACTTCCTGCGTATCCCCTTCATCTGTAAAGCAGGGTGAAATGGACTGTGACTGTTCTGATGTCTCACTTGGAGTCTCCATTTCTTTTTTCATAGGATTGTCAAGAGGAACATTAGAGTTTGAAAACTTCTTAGATCCAGGAGTCAGTTGGCCACATTTTATATTCAGAAGTGAAACATCTTTCCTAGCAGCAGAGGCTTTTTCAGGAGACGCTGAAGAGGGGGAAGAAAGGCTTTGTTTTAACAATCCCTTGCGCTGTCTTTGTTCTCTTTTCGTATCTGATATTATGGGTGGATCTTTACTACGTGTCTTTCGGAACAGTTTTGGAGGTGTTGCTTCTTCTGTAATCGAATTGAACTTTTGAATTCTAGCCCATATTGATCCTCCAGGGTCTGGCCCTCCCTTCTTTTGTTTATTTTCTTTGCCCATTGACTTTGAGAGGAGTGGGTCTGGTTCCTCTGTAATGTTTACTGGATCTTCTTTATCTTTTGAAGTTTCTACTTCCATAGCTTTTGCTTCTGGTTCAACAGCACTTAACTCTGTATCATTTACTGGGGTAACACTTAAGTCTTGCATTCCAGAGAAGTCACGCTTTTTACTACCCTGGCCTTCCTTCAGGTTTGAATGCAACAGTGTCCTATCGGATGATCTACATATCTTTTTCCGGACAGTCTTACCATCATCCATGATAAAGATAACTTTCCCAGGAGGACAACCTACAGATGAACTTTCCAGACTATAAAGATACGAAGTAGTACTGGGTTCAGAGGCCCATGGAGCGGAACATCTGCTTGAGCTGATTTCCCAAGTTATTCCACTATCTTCACTTGGAACTGTTACCATAGAAAAGGAAGGACTGGAGACAATGTATTGTAGCTCGGGCTTCACCTCTGCATTTTGGATAAGGTCCTTTAAGCTATAAAAAAGTAGGAACGTTTATTAGTACAATAAATCAATTATTGGTAAATAAAATATTGATAAAATACAGTAAAATCACACTTATTGCTGTGGGGTCTTTTGATTATGGTGTCACATGTGCTGGCTGTGTTTTGCCTTTGTTGTTAGCAAGACCTGTTTGTATTTTGTGTTCACTGGTCAGCACAGAGTATTTCTGAGGGTGAGACTGGTGAGACAGAGTTGGGCAAGAGATAAGCAGTTTGGAAAAATGCTTTTAAGGTGCAATCTCTGTAAATAGATATAATTATTTACCAATCTTTCTTTTAGGTTCCAGTGTGGGGTGGTACACAGCAGAGAGGGGTGTGAGGTCAGTGGAAGTTTTCAATAAGGGTTAAATACCTAAATATTTTTGAGAATATGGGTCTTAGGGTGCCCTCACTTTTGAAAGTATCAAACGAAGGCAAATTTATTTGACTTTTAAAACTTAACAGCTGACTTTAAAACTTAACGAAAGATAAACTTTCATCAAAGATCTGAGTATAAAACAAATTATCAGTGGGTATGTCTACATGCACCCCTGATTGTGCATTTGGTACTTCACAATCATGTAATACTTGCTTTAGCAGTACTGCACAGTCCTGGCTGCGCATGGTTATTTTTAGATGATATGTGACTAGTGATGAGGTACGTTGCCATAGCTCATTGTTACAGCGATGTAGTGTCCTGTGTAGATGCATCCAGTGTCACAGAAGGACAAGGTCATGATAGTCTAATGCCTAGGAGAGTAATTTAAATTGGTGCTAAGTAGATGTAAAGTTCTGTCATTCAAATTTTATATAATTTTATATCTATTTTGCCCATCTATAAGTGACTACACAACATTCAAGGCAGTGGAGAATCTGGTCTCTAGCTTATAGAGCTGGTCTAGCTGGTCTTTTATTTGTAAGCTATAAATAAAAAGCAACTTCTACGATGGTGTCAACACGGAGTGCTGCCAGGGCCCCTGCCCGGGGGGTGCAGCCTACCCGGGGCTTGTCTGAGGTCTCCACCCAGACAGAGCCCATGGTGGGGCTGGCGTCCCCCCACCCCCTGACCTGCGGGGGTTGCCCAGCAAGGCCTGGGGGGGCAGGGATTAGTGACCCCCACACCTGTCCTGCAGGCACCCGCCTTAGGGCCCTGGAGGCACAGGTAAGGGAGCTCCAGAAGGAGGTTAGCAGGCTGAGGGGAGTCAGGGAGGCAGAGGATGAAATTGACGGCTATTTCCTTTCCCTGCAGGGCCACACACCCAAGGAAGAAGCACCTTGGGAAGTGTCCTCCACTGCAGAGTGGCAGACGGTCACCTCTAGAACCAGGGCGGTTCGCAACACAGCAGTATCAGTTCCTCCAGTCCAGCTGCAGAACAGGTACGAGGCCCTGGCAACTCTGGAGGAGAAGGAAGGAGAGGAGGCAACCAGAGAGGAGGCAACTCCACACTCTCCATGCTCAGAGCAGGCTGAAGGAGCTAAGCAGTCCTGGAGGAAAAAGTGTCGCGTGATCATCTTAGGCAACTCCATCCTGAGAGGTACAGAGGGTCCCATCTGTCGCCAGGACCCCTCGACACGTGAGGTCTACTGCCTACCCGGAGCAAAGATTCAGGACGTGAAGGGGATGATCCAGGCCATGATCCAGCCCACTGATTACTACCCCATGGTCCTAATTCATGTGGGTACTAATGATGCGGCTAGGAGAAGCCCTGATCACCTGATGGTGGACTACCATGCTCTGGGGGGCATGCTGAAAGAGATAGGCGCACAGGTGGTTTTCTCTTCTGTCCTACCAGTGAGCAGACGTGGAAGATGGCATGCGACGTGCATCACAGAGACCAACTGACGGCTTCAGGAATGGTGTCTTGAGGCGGGTTTTGGATTCCTTGACAATGACCTGCACATCATGACAAGAGACATGCTCGGATGGCATGGGCTCCACCTTTCCCCTAAAGGTAAGCATGTGTTTTCTTCTAGGTTGGC